GCACAACAAACCCATTTTTCCTGTTGCGTTTTTTTTATAAAGAATGTCTCTCTCTACCTCTCTTTCTCTTTATTTCTTTTTCTCTCTCGGCGACCATGGAATACGAAGATCGAACATTTTCGATCTCTTGGCATTCTGGAGCCTACCTTATCTCGTGTCGGGTACTATTCGGTGGAACATAAAACTTTATGCGACCCGTGGAGACCGATCTTCTTATGGGAAAGGGTCAAATTTAAGCAGGCGACCCCGAAATTGCGGCGAATGATCATACGAAACTGCCGTGTAAGAAACGAAATGAGAAAATTCAGTCTTGCCACGAGCAAACCGGCTCGAAATAAAAATGCCCATAGGGCATTTACCTATCTATAACTTGCGGAGGTATATATATTTCGCGCTGTCAGAAACTATCTTGCGGAAAAATTAAGCTAAAAGGCGCAAAGGAAAGAGATAGAGAGTTACAAGAGTCTCGCGAGAGTTCAACGAGCGTAGAACGATAAAACGCGAAGATACCTTATATACATTCAAGATCGCTTTGGTAATCTTCTCGAATGAGATCAGCGGCAGATGCACAAGACACGGTAATTTTTTCATTATTATATATTATATATCATGTATTTCTTCTGTTTTATTTATTATAATAATAATTTAATAATCTTTGTTGTAAAAACAAAATTATTTTTTATTAAATAATAGAGAAGAGAGAATCAAATACACATCCACACAAACACACACGTTTGCGTATAGATAAAAATTCTTTCAGTTATTTTTACAAAGCGGAAGCTGCGAGGTAATTCTTCTCGACAATTTTTCTCGACTTTCATAAGCAACACATTTTTCTCTGATGTTGCAGAACGTGAGGGTGGCACTCAGCAGCCTGCCAGCGTGTGCGACGTCGAATATTACGGATTGACGTCACCGGTGGAAGGCTCAGTGGTGCATCCGGAGCCGCACCGATTATTCGCCATGGAAGGTCCGGTGAAGTGCAGGCAGCACTTTATACCGGCGCCCAACCAGTCGGTGGTCATTACCGTGAGTTACCCGACGAAATGTTTAATCTCTCTATCGTTCATTTAATCGGCCCCGCTCCGGAGGGGAGAGGGGAGGGAGAGATTGAAATCGTAAATTTATTCCTGGCCTTTAGATGCTGTGCCGCGGGCATCGCCTCGCGGATGAAAACTTTCGCATTAGAGTCGACGTCGAAAAAAGAGAGAGAACGTCACAGGCAAACATTACCGTCAAATGGAGGGCATACCGGGGGAGAGAGAAGAGAGTTTTATTCCGAAAACTATATAAAACTTTTAATCTGCATTTGCGCGCGATGCCGGCCTTTAATCCGCGTTTAAATAATATTCCGTTGGATCAGACATGGTTCCCCGAAGGCGAAACAACAGTTTCAGCGATTCTCTGCCGAGAACGATTAAATGCAGCAATTGAATTTCCGGTGGAAGCATAGCAACCGTAATCCCGCGCTGAACGATATGCGTCGCATTTACGTTATAAATTCGTCGCACAACCGAGAGAATCGTACAGCTTTAATCTCGCGCGATATAAATAGTTTTCATAACATATATTCAGTATCTCAATCACAGAGAAGATAGCAAACAAATTTTAGACAAACTATGTGCGTGAGATTGCGCATTATTCTATAATTAGTCAAATGCGTTTCCGCTATTTTTTCTCAATTTCTTCCGTCTATGTGTCTGTTTATAGGTAGAAGGTAGCACGAAACAAACTCCAAACAACTCTTGCGAGACCAAGTGCGGTGACAGCGGCTGCCACTGCGTCAGCAAGTCCGTAGAGAATATGGACCACCTTTTGCTTGTCTCCGAGACCGGACACATTGTCACATGTCTCTGCGGAAATTATCAGGTGAGCGCGCGTGAACGGCGGACAAACTTTATTCACGGATGGGTACATCTCGACGCTTTGCGGCCGTTCCGCGTCTTACCGCGTGCATTTTTGCTCCTTGAATGCAGCAAGATAAAAGCTATCGTTATTGCCGCAACTTTTATATCTCCGTATTGTCATACGAGGACGCCGGCGATGTCGTTAAAATATATTACTCGCGATATGCAATTTTCTTCAAGCGGCTGTTACCGTCTTTGTGCTTGTTATATCGCTCTTAGCGAGATGTTTGTTTTTTTTCAAAGAAAGGGAAAATTCATTGGACTATGAAAAACCTAAATCTTTATTCTCTCATTACGATAATGAAAAATCTAAAATAAATTTTTCACTATCATCGATAAATTAAACGTCATAAATTAAGCTCTGCGCAAAAAGATCGTTGCAGAAAATTCATTCAAGGTAAATATATAATGTATTGTTATTAAATATGTATCAGTTTCATTAACGCGATTTCATCATTTATTGTAATTTATCCTAATGTATAATCAACGCATAAATAATTAAAATATAATGTAATAATCCAAATTACTTTTGGGGGTGAATTTAATATACAATTGTTGTATTACAATCAATATATACCGATGCGAAAACGGAAAAACTATGACACGCGTTTGAAAATGCAATAAAATTTTGTAAATGTTTTTAATTCAACGTTCATGTTTATGTTTAGCTGGAAAAGTGTCAGAAAGAAAGCTATCAACGCTAGATAATCGATCCAACATAAAATGTGCTTGCGTTTACACAATTTTGCACAACTGACCTGACTTTGACTGTATCCACATAATAACTATTAATAGACATATTATCAGATTACTCAATCGAGTGTAATGGCGAGTCTATAAACAAGATTTCGATTCGTCGGATCATCATTTCGCATTCAAATACTCGTTATTCCGGTACAATTGAAGCTACCATGAAAACAATGGGCTAAATCTGTGTAATTTAACTGCATTGGATTAAATTCGAAATCCGCGATTGACAATTAAACGTAGACCTGGTTGTCGATAAAATCGTCAATATCATTTTTTCTTTTTTTTTTCGATATCACGCGACAAATACCGTGTGCGATTAAATTTATATTCTCCATTATGTAGTTATCTATCTTCCGCGTTTCCATCCCAGCTTTTTATCGTCGGTGCTCGTCTTATTTTCAATTTCTTAACGGCTCTTTTAGTCCATATTTCTCGTCGCGCTTTTCATCTTCTCCGACCCTGCCTGCCATTTTCCACGTCATATCCCTCGTGTCCCGTTTCATCCGTTTAACGGGCTTTATTATCGCGCAGGACTGGCTTCCGGTGGGTATCCGTAGCTGGACCCCGGTCTACATCGAGTGGTCGAGGTCATCAAAGGCAGGCCTCAATTTCCACGCGGCGTACAAGTTTATCAATGACACTTACTGCGGCGATCACACGATGGCGGAACCTGAAGGCGAGGTCAATGGTGGTGATCTGGCGAGCGCCGGGCTCAAGCTGAATCAGTATTACCAGCAGAAGTGCACGTGGATCCTGGACTCGACGATCGACCGACAACTCATCATCGAAGTCAAGTCCACACAGAGCCGTAAGCAGCCTTTCTACCATCCGTTCAGTAATTACACATCCCCTCTCCCCCACTCGCAAAGGTTGTTTACAAATTTTTTTATTTTTTTTACAACGAAATCTTCTCCTGTCACTTTTTTTATATCTACTTTTAACATTATCTAAATATCTTGGATATATTTGTAATATGATTTATGCACGATCATTTAACTCCACTACTCTAATTTAATGACAGCAGAATTTATAATTAGTTATTTTATTTTATTCTGCAGAATCACCCCATCTATAAAAATTTTTACGTGAAACTATCATGATTTGTGATTTGATAATAAATATATTTTAAAATCTCTCAATTTTTTTAAAATTAGAGAATAATTTTCGGGTTTCCACGGTTTTATATTTTGCAAGAAAAACCGCGAGCAGTTTAATAGTACAAAAATAATTTATCTAGAAGCACTTATTTACGTTTCCCAAGAGAACATTCTTCGAACGATTTATCTTCGGACGCTATTAAAAGAAAACAAAAAGCATCTGCGTTTCGGGGCAGCGTATCTTTTGCGGATCTTATACATTAAAAATCCGTTGCAATTAATTTCTTTGCCATAACAAACCTGTTGATATCCCCACTGAAATTTTAATGTAATTACGTATAGTTTGCATGCATTAGTTTATAAATAGATGAATTTAATAAATAAATATGATTACTATTTTGAAAATTTGTTGAATCGCATCTTTTTAATATTTACTAAAAATTTATTATTATATCGATGCTCTCTCTTAGATTCGCTCCATAGGAAAAAAATTCATACATATTAAATAAAAAGAAAAGCAAAGATGAGGCTAATCTATTGTGCTGTTTGAATATCATATATATCGAGAATAATATTTTTTTAAATTTATTATTATTCTTAAGAATATTCCCGACCCTAAAGCCTCTTTAACTTTTATTTCGATAAGCACAAATTCTCTTTCTATCCCGCAATAGAATTCCATTTGTAGAATTCTATTCCAATCCTAGTCGAGGCTCAAGAGAAAACAGAGATAGATCATCTTGCCCACGACGCGCTCCGTCTCTGGCGACGACACGGAGAAATCTTCCCTCGATTGCTTTTCTTCCGAGAGACCGCCGGAATTTCTATCCGCGCCATTGGCTCCGCCGTCGCCGTCGCGGATGCGAAAGGGTGAAAGTTGTGGAAGAATAAAGTCGAAGGGTGAGAGGACGTCGCGGGCCCGACCGACCGAGAAGACAGAGGAGCGCGCCGCGAAACGAATGGCAGTGGGTCGCGAGATTAAAGAGACCATCGGATTTACTACGACGACGAAAGCTAGAGCTTCACCGTGCACAAATTCCCCACTGTGCGTTCTCCTCCTGCCGCGCGCGTTTCTCGCGTTCCATTCACCTTTTTTTTTCCGCCTTTTTCCGTTCGTCGCCTTCTCTCTGCGTTCCTGCGGTAACGTAAGTCGTCATCTTACGAGAGCGCAGCAAAGGCGCGCGACCATTCCCCCGCCGCATATATATTTGAGTCTGGGAATATTATGATTGTTCTTCACGGTGTGAAATGCGATGCGAGGGATATTGTTCTCTCTGGTACAAGGTAGATGCATTTATGTGAGTGAACTTATGTTTGATGTTACGTTCCGCGTTATGTTCCGTAGTCGTACGAAAGAAGTGATGTCATTTTTTCTTTCGAAACTGAACGCACGATATTGTCAATCTTTTGTTATTCGATTATAAATTAAAACGAGTCATTATTTTAATATTTTGTTATTGTGATCTCATTCTTAATTTTTCTCGAAATACTGAGGGCGATCGATCAATGAAACAAAATACATAGTAATACAATAAGCCAAAATTGATCTATACGTTCCTATAAGGGAATATTATCTATTGTATATGGAGCATATTCTCTACACTGGTTCAAGAAAAGATGGTTTTATTGAATAAAGCTCACGAGTACGGAAAATTACAAACAAAACGGATTATACTGTGATATATTACTAACGATAAGAAACAGTGAATAGATTGAATATTAAAAAGAGCGGGATATTGTAATCGTGCGCGTTATCAGCTTCGATTTGTGTGGAGAAGAGATACGTGATGCAAAAAGTTTTTACATATTAAAAAATTTCTGTGTTCTTGTGTTATCACTGTGAACAGACAACTACGGTATCTGTATTTATTCCGTTAAAGGAGTATAGGAGCAAGCCGCGAATATTTTCGCGAATTATTAAGTAAATTAATGAGCTTTTATATGGAGTAATCCGTTTTGTGAACGGTTTAATGAACCACGAATCGAATTATTTTAGTGACGACGCTCCGTTCGTAACTTTGCGATAGAAATCGTTCCTTTCGTTCTCGTTTCTACCTTCATTTCATAGCTTTCTCATTTTCTTCCCCTTCGCCACAGATCATTATGAGTAGAGTCGGAATCGTAACCAAAGCTTAGCAAACGCCGGAAATGGTTTTAATATACCTCTCAAACCGTGGCGCGAGTACGTTTCTCTCTCTTTTTCTCTTCTGCTCTATCTCCTCTAACCAATCGCGCCTCTTGCGAAATTTAAACGTTGAGTGGTATACTTTTGCCATGAGAGTTTCACCAAAATGTTAACCGCATGAACAACAATAATCCTGACAATAAGCATTTTCATTGTTAACCCTCTTATGCACGAATTATTACATATCCATGTGGAATAAAATATAAGCGGAGTGAAATATATCTGCTCGTATAATTTGAAAATGCGAAGCGTAAAATATAAATATATATCTGAATAATAGAATTAATTTCAAAATAAACGAAAAACAATATTTATATAAAAGCAAAAATATATATATATATATATATAATAAAAGTATATGTAAATAAATATTACCTCGATGATAAAAGAAATCTGGGAATATTGATGATGGCTTATCTCATGCCAATTTTTCTATTTATCACATGAAAGCTTATAATATACATATTGTGAGAATAAAAATAAACATTCAAACAGATATTATTTCTATACACTTTGAAATTTTAAAAACAAATTTTATGATTGCGATACGCGATTTATATTTCGCGATACTGTCCGCTCCATGCTATGGTTTCTCTACTTAACAGGACCGTGCACTGCGTGGAATCTGACAATACACGAGTACAGGAAGGAGGGCGACCCCGCCGGACCCAGATTGCACACGTTCTGTTCGAGGGATTCGCACAAGAATTTCACCCTGCCGTGGAAGATGAATACCGCGGTGGTTAGGTGAGTTTCCCACTTCCGTGCACTCGCGCACTCGGTCGGATTAACCTAGGGAAAGTTTCGCCGCGCGCGATCTTGTCTATTAGATACGTTTAACGACAGTTCTGCAACGGTTTCGACGGGAGATTATGACATGGTCGGTTGAAATATAACGGCGTTTTGCCAGCGAACGATCGCGCCTCATTTCGTGTGTACCATCGCGCCCGTATAAAACCGAGGATTGATGCCCGTGCGATCTGTTACTGTCATCTCGCGTGAAGAAATTATCCACTGATTAACAATCGGCCATCGTTCATCTCGTCTTACGACCGCAATTCCAGTTACAATCGTGGCATCGCCCCTCCCATTCCGTAATCCACGGGATAAAAAGGAAAATATGTTTAACAACAACTTTTCTTCACGAGATACCTTCTCATTGACTATGGCAGTGATCGATGCGGTCGAATCGAAAAATGGTAGATCCATTTTTATCGCAAGAATAATAATTCTTTCTGAATCACACGTTGTGAAAAATTGGAAGAAAAAAATATATATGCAGTTGGTTCAAAAACTATAAGCCAAAAATTGAATAATGGCAGATTGACATCAAATATGCATTGATCTACATTTCATCATTTATTACTTTTAATTTTTAATATTTTGGATCAAGTTTGAAAAAAAAATATTTTTAAATATAAAAATTCTAATCAATTTCTTTATATGTATATATATCGAAAAATATAATTAATTCTAAATAAATCGTATAATATTAATTTTTTCAAATAGGTAAAATATAAAAATAAGCAAAGATTATATTTTTTGATAGAATCAAAAGTATAATAAACTAACTGTGCTTTCCAGATTGCAAGCCCTTGGTAGAACCGCGCCGCAATACACGATGAGGTGGCGAAGTCAGACGGTGATCGCCAATACTCGCAAAAGCGGACCATCGCCAGCACCGAACTGGCACGTGGTGAGCTCCTCGAGCAAAGCCGAACCGCGAGAAAAGGCTTTCCTCATTTTCGTCGTGTTCGCGATTTTTCTCGCACGCTCGTTTGACTGTTGAGACTGTAAATTCGGGGTAAAAAACCGCGTCTACACATACCTGTTCCTGTTAATCGAACGAATCTAAGTTATAGCATATGTACATAAACTTGTGAGGACTCGCGCCGGGATCCTTGTTTTACGTCGCTCGATTTGTAAGGTGGTTTTAAAGTGGACAGCGCATCGTCAAGAGCCGAGATATTCGCCGGCTGGCTCGTTAATTCCCGGCTGCATAATTTTTCACGAAAGAAATATTTTAGATGAAGCAGAAGAGAAATATCGCATCGTACACGCGACGATTAATTCCGAGGAGAGAAATTTTTAACTGATCTCTGCTATATTTTTCACTCTACATACGATCCAATTTTTTACGGTACGATGGAGAGTTTACGAGCCAGTTTACCGTTCTTCTCGATCGAATCGTATGTATACATATATATATACATATATATTATACACACCCATACATGTGCGTATGTCAGATATAAAGAGAGTGACGATCAGCATGTGTAATAAGTGATTAGTTTGCACAATCGACTGTCACTCGAATCGAAGAAGATGGATCTGTTTAAAGCCTTTAAATCATTTATTCTTTATCCGATTAGTTTAAAAATTTTTGTATTCTATGCGGAAATAAATAGTAATATTGATTTCAACATTTTATTATTTTGCTAATTAGAATTTGAGCATTATTAATATATATAAATGTTATTCTTCAGTAGATATTGTAGAACCCGTTCACCCCACGTCTCTCATTTTCTAAAATATTTTTACAAGTCGATAGTTGTACTAAATGAAGATGTAACTGGTAAATATTGTACGGTACAATTCATATAATTATTTCTGAAATAGTATGTAGTGCTATTTTTTACTATGTTTTCATAATCTTCACAGTTTTCGAGCTTTTATTTAAATGTATTAAGGCCAGAATAATAGCCTTGTGTATATATTATACATATATAAAGAAAATAACATGCAAGAACGCGATGCACGGATTTGAAATAGCGAAAATCACACACGAGTCACCCCTCTCTCTTTCAGGCGAATGCCAAATTACACGTGTAAGAGATTAAAAACCATGTAGCGATCTGTGTACATAGGTAGTGGCGTTAATAGAATTTGTACAGAACACACGATTAATTGTATCTACCCTAAGTCTGCGAATTACTGTAAAGTAACGATAAGATAATTAATCTTACGCGGCTCCGAGGGAATGAGAACGAACGAAGAGAGAGTGTGTATTTTAACGAACGAACTTGGGTACGTGCCCAAGACACTTCGCAATTTATTGTTATACGGTTTGCCAGCCGAACGGGATGCCCTTATCACCACGTATTCGTATCGATAATTATCAATCCGTTCCTTTTTTCGAGGAATCGCGAATCGAGAAATCACACCAAGAGCAAACTCGCTCTCCGAATATCTCACGAGATAGGGCGCGCCGATCTATTGAAGCAAACTCGCAATTATTGATTATTACTGAGGAATAAAATGGAAATAAATGATAGAGGTCGTAAATATTTAATGTACGTATTTGCTAATGCCACCCGATAGAATGAATCGCGAATCGCGTACTCCTAACCAGCTGTACAACAATGCGAGAATGTTTCTACAATTTTCCATTGATTTTATAATGAATCTGTGAAATCTCATCGCGTTTTTTCTTTCTACAGCTAATTAAGGTAATGCAACGTGTATTGGCCTAAGAATAATAACATTAGTCATCCTTATGCACTTCCTCTGAAAGAGTCTTTATATCGAATGTATTTTAATGTAAAAAGGAATTCGTGTGTTATTCTGTTGTATCATCCTCGTTTTATAATTTTTATCTCATATACATTAAATGTATCTGATCTCATTTTAAAAATACAAACATATAGATATGTTATTGACCGCTGTAATATCGAAAGTTACGTTTTTGATATTTTGCGGAGATCTTTTCACTCGATCTTTTCTTAAAATTTATAAATCATATCTCTACATTGTATTTTATGCTCAGAATGTAATTTTTAAAAATGTAAATTTATTTAAATTAATTTTTGTGCTTCCTCTACAATCGAAAAAAGAAATATGCATTCCCAAAATAGATTGAGAAAATTGATTAATGATACATTATAATCATACTATAGAAGTTTTACTTGGGAATTTTAATATTTGTTGTCGTAACACTTCGAATTACTTTTATACGCGTTGTTACTAAATTCGTGTTTAGCGATACGCAGACAGGGGCACTTATATTATAATACGTTGTTGTAATTCATAAGGTAAAGCGATATTATACTCGCCGAAAACCTCGTCAAACCAGACATGAAAGTCATTATCTATTTAATTATCGAGTGATGCAATGAAATCGAAATCGACGCGCAGCAATGTAATTTAATATAAAGAATGTAGATGTGTGAGCAATATGTTAAAAAATTAATTTTTCAAAGAGAAGTACGAAAAATACTATGCGCTTCTATGTTCACTATTCATATTGTATTTGTAGAAATTACGTTCAACATTATTACTGCGTATTTATGCAATAGCTGGCCTTTTATTTGGAAAGTATACCGATTTTACACAAAACACGTGCGACCTAATGAAAGAAAAATACGTGTTACATGTACATGTACTAGCCACGTATATATAAGTCACAATAAATAGTCAATTGTTTCATATAAAGTCTAAATAAAGTAAAATGAAACACTAACTTGTCCTTTTGTTTAGCTCAGGCCTATATTTATTATTATTACTTGAATCTCGTCTTACAAGAACGTTTGATATGAGATACTCAAGATAAAATTTTATATTTTAAGATGCAGGCAGTTTAATAATCACGATAATCACATAATCACCTTTTTTTATTAGAGACTAGAATATTATAAAGTACGCGTTATACGCGCCATTTTTTCCCTATGCCATATATCATTTAATAAATCGAAAAAAAAATTAAAAATAAAAATGTTTATGAATGTATGAAAATACAATTATCTCAATGTATATAAATATGTAACATGTCTTCTAAAAAACATATCATATTTATCATTTTTACGTATCATCTTAAAAATAAAAAGCGAGCAAAATAAAATGCTTAATGTAGAATATCAAACTATAGTACTTTGTTACTGGATATATTAAGAAAGATTCATTGTAATGTACGTGAAATTGAAATAATTTGTAAAAACATATCATAAAAATCATTGCAAATCGACTTTATCGTAAAATATTACCATATTTTGGGAAAATTGGATAAAGTTTTAATTAAACTCAAGACATTTTTCTATGCAAAAAATAGCTTACATGATGCAGATAAAAAATGTAAAAAAACTGACTTGAAATTTAATACATAAAATATCATTGTTTTTCAGTCGGAAAAATCTAAGTAAGCTAAAATTTCTTTTTCTAGCAAAAATTATTTTATTATTGCTCATTATTTTATATCAATCATACTCGAGCTGTGGAAATATTTTTTATGGGATAAATGACCAAACTGGTCAATAACGCATAAATAAAAATAATGTTCAAGTTATGAATTATTTGTACGTGTGCATCTTTGTATGCAGTCACATATATTCCAGGATTAAATATTGCCCAATTTATCTTAATCCATTTTAAGGCACAATGGATTTGTGAAGCATATATATATATATATATATCAATAATATTTCTATATATTCTTTATTTAAACTTTTATTATTTTTAAATATAATTTTGAAATAAATAATGGCTTCTAATATTAAATAGTTTATGAAAACAAACATAATAAATAAGATTTTACTATTGCATTTATTTATTATCATTACAAATTTAAATGCAAACTTTTATATATGAATAATTACCAGAAAAATATTTTTAATTGTTTGATTTGTTTCTAATATATTTGTCATCTTATAGATACATTTCTTATACATATTTGATAATTTTCACAAATCCATTACCTCATAATTAAAACAGAAAACAATTTAAACTCACCGGTACGATGCGCAGCGGCGGAGTTGCACAGCATATTACGTAGTGTTGATCTGTAAAATACACAAATATATATATATATATTTAATCTAAATTAAAGCAAGTATCAAAACTATATTTTATATCTTAAAAAATAATTACAGCCTTAAATTTTTTCTTTTATTAAATTTTTTATAAATGATAATATATATATAAACAAATAATTAATCATTCACCTTATGGTTCACCTCTGCCGAAACTTTATGCCGTTTCAGGCCTCTTCTTTCTCTCTTATTTCATTGTTTGGCTCTCCTTCATGGCACTCGCTAGCGAAAACAGTTAATTGCAATTAAGCGCGTATTTGCAAAAATTAATTACGATTACGCGCGCACTAATCTCGCCCGAATGCAATTAATGAACGCGCGCACTTGGTTATGACGAGAGAATAAAGCGGAAAAAGCGCGAATTATTTTCTTCGACAAACAGCCGTCGCCGCGATATGTTTAATCGAATTGAGTAATTGCGATTGATACCCACTAATCACACGCTTGTACATCATGATCATGTTCGACGTAATATTTTTCACGATCGCGAAAATGCGATGCCGCGTCGTTGACCTACTTACTCGACTCTCGCCGCGCGAATGACAATACGACCGTGTAATGTAAACAACGATATGTCGCACGTCGCCTAACAGATTTACATGCTACGCAATCGACAAATATTAACATATATGATTCCAATTATAACTTACTCATTAATTAAATGCGTCGCGATTCAGAATCGATCCATTCCGCGCTTGCAACGTTTCTTCGCCGACTCCGGAACGACGTCAGCAGCTTTTACTTGATACGACGCGATACTTACTTCACGCGAATAAAATGCGCGAAATATTTACTCCGAAACCAAATCGTCGCCTTAATATACAAGTTACTTAATCGTACAAGTTAAATAATTGCGCGAAATGATATACATTAATCATTCACTCAGAGAAATGATTCCGTAATACTTTTTACAATCGCGTCTCGAAAATTAATGCGTATACGAGCGCGTCGCGTTGCTGCCTATCTGTTCTATTGTCGCCGCGCGAATGACAACAATGTGACCGCTCGTAAACAACAATCGTCGCACGTCGCCAAACGCCGTATTTACATGCTACGCAATCGAGAAATATTAACATATTATTTCAATTATGATTTACTCACCATTTAAATGCGTTGCGATTCAGAGTCGATCCGTCCCGCGCTCAACGTTTCGTTACCGACTCCGGAATGACGTTAGCAGTTTCACGTTGATTATGGCGGGAAAATAACGCGGGAAAGTGACATTGAAAAGCGCGCGAAATTCGATACTCACGATCGCTCGCGATATTTCTAAAGACTAATTTTGCAAGCGCGCGATCAACAAAAGTTTTAACAAATCATCGATGATCACACAAATACCGTATTTGTTTACTCTGCGATTAAATAATATATTTATCTTCATGTCATTTTATTTCGTTTCATGTAATACTAAAAACATTATGAGATATCACCCACATTAATTACATCTACATATATAAATTAGAATAACGTATATAACAATGAAAAATAATTTAAAAGCTTTGATTAATTGTTTATTACGCGAAGTTCTGATTGAACTCTGATTAAAAAATTATTTTTATAGTTCAATAAATTTTAATATAAATTAATAATACAATTAGTATTCAATTATTTTAGATTACATAATTTATAAGAAAATTAATAATGTTTTGATAAAAAATAATATAAATATAAGTATTAACCATTTTCGTGAACCGTTTCTCAGAGATAATTATTCTGTAATATATATATTACAATATATGTAAAGATTGGATATGAAAAATTATGATACACTATTAATATAAGATATATGACACATTATTAATATAAAAATATGCAATAAACAGCTTCATTAAGAAAAAACATAATTTATTCACACATGTAAGTAAGAATGCATCTACATCCATAATGTAATTATGTATAGTATATAATAAGATCGCACGCGCGCAAGATATTAGACGTAACAGATATTAGAAGAAACATATTTCAATAGGTATTATTTGAATTCATTTAAAGATCTAACAGTATAATATCTGACATAAAATAAGGAAAATTTGAGAAGACTGTTATAAATACAATAGGAGATAAGAAAAATGCTTTATATAATCTAAACGACATCATTTCATCTCTAGATAATTTTAAAATCTAATAAAATATATACATTACGTTATTTTTTTTCCATATTACATTAGAAAGAAATATAAAGTTACATATTATATATCTATATATATATGTATGTAGACAAAAATCTCAAAAATTATTTTAAAGACATGAATTAAATCTCTATAATAACATACAACGCAATATTCAAGTGTCATGTACTTACATTGTAATATAACACAACTTGATTAAAATTTACGATATATAAACTATCATTTTATACATTAACAATAAATAATTGGATATCAACATTTTGAAATTCGTCCATTTATAGAATATCTAAAATTTCAAAAAATTTTTTCTATACGCGTATTGCAATATAGTCGATTGATCCCTATTAATTACCGTGTTTTCGTTAATTATATTAATAATATCGTGATATATCCACGATCACGATCATCTTCACAAACAATTGAACGAACGATCTCATCTGATTCGCAGGTACAAATTTTAATTTGCACATACATTTTTTGATCGCATTGCAAATTATCATTAATAGTGTATAACACATACATTTCACAATATAAATTTCAATATTAGCTTTTACAAAATTGAAATTTTTGAGCGTGTTATTGTTATTATAAAATTAAATATTCATAATTGCTAAGATATATGTTTTAAACAATTTCATATGTTGTTTTATTTACATATATGAAGAAAGAAATAATCGATTATGTATAATTGTAAAGAATGTGATACCGACAATGAAAGAATTATTCCCAAACAAACAGATATACATAGTATATATATATATATATATGTATATATATGCATATATATACACAATATACATACAAGTTAAATATATATAATACAGAAAGTTTGTACACACACACGATTTTACAAATGTATATATAAAGATATTTTAATCATATATTTTGTTTAAAAAATCTTTATAATTTACGAAAAAAAAATTTCATAAACAATCACGGCTTTAATAACACAAAACAGAAATATATATAAAATTTGTAATTGTTGTAAAATTCCGATACTAAAATCTTTATTTAATGTATCCATATATATGAATACATCTAAATTATAGTAGCGTAACTAAAACATAGTGGATTAATCACATATAAAAAAAGAAGAATATTCTAAGATATTAGAATATTACCTTACGACATTTTATATAGTAATTGGAAGTTTTAATTTATATCTCTTTTACTACATTAATGGATACGCTTAATTCTTCTCTCTATTTATGTAACAATATTTATACATTGGTAAACAATGCAATTTACGGTACATAGAGATTCCTTGATGGTTAATCGATAAACCAGGTCGAAAGCCTATATGATGAAAAAGAGAATGATAATGTTTAATGCCCTAGGTGTATTTTACTTTCATTAAAATTAGGAACAAAACCGTAAAAATGCCTCGGGTTACCCACTCGATTCATTCTCGTGTCTTTAAATGCCTGTTAAGAACACATGAATATCGCTACATATATTATCTTGGAGTATCAAACTGAGATTCGTCCGGAATAAGACGGAAATTACAAATACACCTTAAGTTTACGTGGGTACATTATGTAAGACTGCAGAAGCAGAATTCAGAAGCCCCAATCGCTGCTTTTGCTTTCGTTGCTCCGTCATCTTTCAAAATAAATAAAAGTATATGATTTGTATATTTAAATATTGCTTGAATATTTTTGCTAACTTAATAGTTAGCTTTGAAGTAAAATTTAAATAATATTCTCAATTGGCGTACCTGATCACGAAGCTCCATGAGTTGATGCGACAAACATTTAACTAACTGCTGCGTGGATTCTAATTGCGACTGTAAACTTCTTAATTCCACTTGCTCACCTTCACCTTCATCCGCCGCCAATGACTTGGCCCGTAATCTCGGGAACCATTCCAGATTTCGATCCTGTGAAAGTACATAGAGCTTAAAGACATAAGCATCGCCCAAATTTTTCAAGCTCTATGAACTATTACCTTAACCATGGCATAAACATATGATTCCGGGCCTGTGAATTCTGTCGGGTCTTTCACCTTCACCAAAACAATGAAGTAGAGGTAATGCCACATGTTATGCTCATGCTTTATGTGTTCTTCAAAGGAAACTGTTTTGTTATCAAAAGCTGATCTATTCAAACCTGTAAAAAAAAGGGAATATTTCAATACATATATGAAATTGTAAAATATATCCTACGGTATGTCAAAATATAAAAGTATAGAGAAAACGTAAAACAAACAATATATGAAATAAATACTTGCCACAAATAAAACAAGTATTTTTTAAAATCAATTCCTTCTGCTGTTTCTCCGATCTAAGATCCGCAAATGTATCAATAATCACACCAAAGATGAGATTCAAAACGATAATTATCACAATGAAGAAGAATAGCAAGTCGTACACAACTCTTGCAACGAACAAAGGTTCCTGAAACATAACAAAGTTTTTGTGTATAAAATAACTTATTTAACCGTTTTTGTGATATTCCTGTACTTACGATGCTGGATGGTGCGCGTAGAACATCTCCAATTCCACCACCGTTCCTCAACCCTTGATTTAATGTGGTAACGATACACATAACGAGTGAATCACAAGATCGTTCCTTCAACTCTCCGCCAACGCTAATCATCTCAGCTTTATCTTCTTTTTCATTTGCTAAATTGTTTAAAAAATTTATTTCACAATAAATATTATTTTTATATTCAAGTAAAAAATTATATTATTCAAATTACATCATTGCAATATATCTACCTTCGCGACCATATCGTGATATAGTCTCTGTTGCTTCACATTTTTCCTTGTCACCAATGCTACAAGTATCTGCAACTTCCTGCTCAATGGAAGCTATAAATAAAATAAATTTTAAGAATATTTATAAAATTAAAAATATCTATATAAATTGTATGATAAAATGTATAATACCAAAGGTTTAAACTCACATATAACTTCCTCATCCACAGGAACGAGAAAATCGTCTCTAAAGAACATAAAACCAATGATGGAAAACATGTAAACTAAAATCAAGGCTAACACAGCAGTGAGTATGATAGATCTTCCATTTCGAGTTACAGATTTTATTACATTGAGCAAAGTCTCCTCGCGGTAAACCACATCAAAGAGCTAAAATAAATGACAATGTTACAATTTTGTACATATTTGTAAAAAGGGAGTAAAAAATAATTCATTCTTCGTCACTTACTAAAACTGAATAGAAAAACGGATGCATAAAAATCCCCAGAACACAGAATATTAAATACAATATGTGATATAAAAGTTCGATATTGGTTATTATTTGCTCTATACTTCTAGTCAGGGTACCCTGATTACCTATAATACTTATAAGATGTACAACTTTAAATGTAATCTGCAACACAAATGTAATACATATTTAAAAATACATATTTTAAATCGCATATATATTACAATCATATACATATATATTTTATATTTTTTACCGTAACAAAACCGAGCAACCACAACGTTGGTTCTGGACCTACAGAGAATATCAATCGCAATATTGTTGATGCGACTAATGTACGTATACCAGATTCCCTTGGCAAGGTAATAACAATAGCAGCAGATGCAAGCATAACTGTCCAAATTAAAGCTGACAAATGATAACTGAGTTCTACAAATAGAGAATAAAAAAGTATCGTGTATTATATATCAAGACAGTTTTTAGAAATTCAACTCTTGTTAATTAAAAACTCACTAGGCACAGAATCCACAAACGGATAGAAAAAGGCTACAATAAGATTTATGAGAACGGCACAATTGAATAAAATGTTACTCCATAATGACATATAACTGCTCATCCAGAACAACATTGATTGCCCTATAAATTAAAATTGATTTATTATTAGAAAAATTTCATTACTATCCTACTTTAATTTATTTAATCAATAAACATGCCTCTAAGCTTTTTTTGCCATTTCATCTCATTAAACATATCTTCTGTCCTTTCGAAGAAATCGGAAACTTTCGACCCTTGGTCATCTCGTTCCGTAGTGTTAAGTACTCTTATTTTTGTATCGACAGTTATAAGTTCGCAGATCTCCGGAATAGGAAAAACAATTTGTTCGAGTGTTCTGTCGTGTCTCACAATCTGAAACGTAAAAATATTTTATTAATAAAGTATATATTATATAATGGTCCTCTCTCTCTCTTTTTCTCTCTCTTTCTTTTTAAAAAATAAACTATTTTTATATTTATACACAAAAACTACATCACCTCTATTTGAGCTGTATGAGATGCATAGTACTGCAACGCTTTATTAATTTTTGGATCCGCATTGTTCTGTTCCGATGGTTTCAATATCGCTGCCAGTTCCTTATTGTGTTGCGCTAATTGATGACACAAGATGTAGATATTATGCCCAACCTAGAAAAAAAAATTATATGTACAATTAAAATATATAAATTATGTTTATTAAAATAATTATAAAAAATCAATAAAGTATTCGTGTTATATATTTCCTTACTTCTTTGGGCGACACTCCTTCCTCTCCGTTTGTCGAGGAGTCATCAATGTCACCGACGTCATCCAGCGATTCCTGATGAAAAGCCTTGCATGCCACATCTACAAGCTGTTTCGGATTCATATTGTACATGATTCTTTCGGCGTTCTCGCTGTCACCTCTACTCTCCATAATTGCCAACAATAATTTACTAGCATTATTCTTTAATTCCAATACCAGATCCATTCTGGTCTTTTCCAGAGGATTGATATCATTCAGTATCAATGCCGTTATAATATCTAAACCGTTGGATTCATGTGTGGCGATGCAGTTTTGATTATCGTGGCACGGTCCCTGACAGTATTCCGTCAACGTTTCCAAAGTTTGATTAATCAGCGCTACATTGTATTCGTTGATGTACAACCCAAGGAGACCCAATCCACCGGTAGTAGAGCCGCAGATGCAGTCCAAAAACATGAGCGTCTCAGATACCAGATTGAAATTTGTTTTATTATTTTGATTCCGTAGGAAATTCTATATGTAAGAGTAATGGAAATGATTTATTAAAATCAGAATGTATCAAAAAACTACGAATTCCGGATAGACAGTAGCACCTGTAATTCTCTGTTGTGATTCTCGCAAAGTAGTTGCAAGAAACGCAGAATCGGTTGCATCACTAAAACTTTAGGACTCAATTGACCCTCATCGTCATCAGACGCACTACCGCTTTTGTTCCTATCCAATTTTTCACATATATCTTCTAACGTATTATTCGCCACGTCTTCGCCAGGCGCAAGACCGTTTTGTATGTTCGCGTATACCTGTGCATTGGACACTGCAACCTGATTTAATTCCTCATGAAGCTCGTCAGTTATTACCATTCCATTGAGCTTCCCTATATATAAAAACTGATCTAATATATCTATTACGTATAATTAATTCATACACTTATACATATGCTTAAGTTAACGCATACATAAAATATAAATTAAATAGAACATAATAACTCAATGTAGTAACAGTAATTTATTTTATCTTATACCTGATCCACGTTTTCGCGACATCTTGTCTACCTCTTTGCCCTCTTTATCCTCGTGTGCTTTAGCCGCCATATCAGATGTATTTACTGTCACAGTAGATTTAATCTCTTGCTGAGAATCTTTCATTTTATCGTAAAATACCTATACAAAAAATAATATCATGGAGTGTCACTGTATATATTGTATAGACAGTATGAAAAATTACCTTAAAAAACGATTGGCTCAAATCGCCTCCCATAAGTTTATTAAACATGCTCTTTTGTATAATAGGATTTCCACCCTCCAATAATGCGATACCCAATTCCACAGCTTCCACAAATATGCTCGGAGAATGTACACTCTTAATCACCAATTCTACCACCAAATCTGAAGCACCTTCGCGATCGAGATGGGTTTGCACTTCGTGTAATGTTCTACCGGCTCGGCTTAATATCTTCGCTGTAAATAGCAATCCACTCTTCTCTTTTACAAGATATTTAAAAAATAATAAAATCTACCGATAATATCTTATGACATTTACCTCCTGGACCATGGGTAATGGTCGCACAACGGGATACTCCAATATCAACATTTTCCGGTTTCTGTATAAAACCTTTGCCGAAGTAACGCGTCAGAAGATTATTCCTCAATACATCTCCCTGTGGAAAAAAGATTTACTTTACGTCAGCATTCTACTACATGTTCAAAATCAGAATGATGTACCAATACATAGTGCACAACATTAATAAAAAAAAAGAAAGGTCTAGTACACGATATTCTCTTTGTGTATTCACACACAAACATATTCTATCAAAAATATAAAATATGTATAAATTTAAATCGTATATTTACATAGTCGGTGCTTTTTATGTGCTTAAAAATCTAAAAAATATTTGTGCAATTTAGGATGCGTGTAGAAGATTTCATTATATTATCCATACAAAATTTATAAAGCCCGAGACCGAGACGAAATAAATGATAATTAAAGTGCAACATGTGAGAAAAGATAAAAATGAAGTTAATGTGTATTGCAAACAACATTCACATATATATTTATTCATTAACAATTAATGAAGACCATAAAAAAATCGGAGATTTCAATAAAAGTTTCATTTATGTGAGATATAGATAATAATTTATATATGTGTAAGACATTTATATAGTGTAGGAGATTATATTCATATATAAAGGTGTCCTCAGGTAAAGCACGCAAAGGATAGCAGCACACATATTTTGGATATTATACATACAATTAATTTGATATATTAATAAATGTCAATATACTTCTATTTAAAGTATGTTCAATATATATCAGTTAAATATAAACTATCTAACATTCATGTTATTGAGAGTAAGGAGAAACTCAGGAAAACAAAATTCACATAAAATTGCACATTTATATATGATTCCGATCTAGGGTAATTAAAAGATTATAAAGTCAATGTGTAATTAAGATGTTAAAATCTATTATATTGTATTGGTACATCTTACTATATAATTTATATACACATTTAAATCTATCTCTATATATAAAAGCTTTTTATTATATTTTTATTGTTGTATAATAATATTAATAAATATTATATACATATATTCTTTGTTAAACAAACGTTAAATTTTATTAAACAAAATAGAAATAATATTTTCAAAGATATAGATCGTAAAAGTCTTCGATACACGGTAACTTTATGATAAAAAATAGTATATATAGCGAATCTTTTATAAAAACAAACACACGAGCGATACTATAGTCATATATTGTTGATATATTTTTTAGTTAATTATTTGTTATTTTATACCGTGAATCAAAATTACTTTCACATATAAGATCAGACAATTTTTATATACATATATTGAGTATTATATATTAATATGTACATATTTTTTATATTATTTTTTCAAAATA